ACTTTCTGTGAGATTCCACATGGGAAGAAAATACTTCAGTCATGAAAATAAGATGAGAAAGACAATCTCTGTTAAACAGGTGAAGCACCACAGCAGAGTGAATGTGTATCGTATTGGAGGGGAAAATGTGTCTTTACATTTGTCAAGCAACTACACAGAGTACTTCAGCCTTAGGTATTTAAAAATCCCATAAAACCAGTATCAGAGTGGTCCTTGTGATGGTCTCTTAAGAGTAATTTCTAATAAAGCACCCTACTGCAATTTAGTTTGGCAACGGTTTAGCGACTAAACCTCCACATGGTCCAAGGATGCCCCTTCCCAAAAGCCTGGGATGGTTCCATCTCACTGACCAGGGATTGTAACACTAGGGTGAGGACTTCAGAGCTGTGGGAAAAATGCAAAAAGAGGGAAACATGCAAATAAAACCTGCCTTAACAGCCTCCCAACTCCCTGGATCGACTGCCTTTACAGCCTTGGCCTCCAAACCACATGGCAGCGTATTGTTACCAGGGCTGAGAAAGGAGGAGGCAATTCAGCTGGCACACTGGGATCCAGGACAAGAGAAAAGTCCTCCAAGGAATTCCCACAGGCAAAACCCATGTGCCCCACCTGTGTGCCTCCTTTTGGGATTCAGTGCTTTACAACCTCCAACCCACAGCAGGCACGGTCTGCAAGCCACACATAGAGCATTAATGAAGCATCTTCCTTTTCTCACATGGGGTTTCTAGAAGCTACAGGGAAACTGCCTGTTAAAAAGCAAACCCAGCATAAACTCCTTCTGGAATAACTGCTAGATAGCATCTACTTGCTTCTCCTCTAACAACCCAACAAGCCATTCCTCACCTCCCTCCACCTCAAAACAAACAAACAGAAAACTCACAAGCCACCATTTACCCAGCAAAGCCCCGACCGGCGCAGGACAGGATGTCTGTCTGTGGTGTATTCCCGGCCTCTGGATCAGGGATAAGCCCAGCTCCACGCGCATTTAGAAGGCAAAGAGGGATACAAAAGTGGTACTAACCCGATAGCTCCCTTTCTGTGACTATTCATCCTTCCCAATCCAGACAGCAGGACATACCAGGCAGTAAACAAACACCGAAGGGAGGGACTAACTTCAAAGCCACTGTGTAAATCTTACATAATTTGAGGGTTTGAGATCTTGCAGCAACCTCTTACCAAACAAGCTGATACAAGGAGGTCAAACCTGTAGCAGCCACAGTAAGTAGGGCGGCTTTGCATCTCTCAACCAGCTCCGTCTGCCCACAGGGACCCAGTGCAGCTCATTCTTGGGAATTCTCGGTCAGGAGGAAAACACTGCCTTCCTTTCACCCCTTATCGCACTGGAAAAGCTTTCTACTCTCAAACAGATGAAAGATAACAAAATACGTGAGGGCACTCACTGCCAGGCTCTGCTGGAAATGCATCTTAATCACTCTCCTCCTTTCTAAAGGGCTTGATGAGGTCTTATTTTATATATTTAAATACACATACATCTCCTCATCATGTTTTTGCCCAGATATAAAAACAACGACAATTCAGGGGCATCTATGGAAAATATAAGGCAACTGTAGAAGAAATGAGGAGAGGGCCCTGAAAACCACTGCCCTCCCATAAAAACGATTCTCCAACGGGTCCCTTTGCTGCCATCCTAGATTTTTAAGTGTCTTTCAGCTGAAATCATCACTTTGAGCTACATAAAGCAACTGTACACATAAGCATAGATGTTTTACAAAGAGAAGTATTCAAAAGGTTCCACATTTCACTTCTGCAAATAGGAGAGAGGTCTCGACGGCTGGAAGGAGATGGGACATTTGCTCTCAAAACCCAGCAAGCACCAGGAAACTAAAGATCAGGTCCCCTACCCTTGCTATGGGATTCTTGGAAGGAGGAAGGAGGGATTCAAGTTTTGCTTCTTAATGCCATGCACCAAAACAAAAACAGTATTAGGCACCTAATAAAGTGAGGTTTTCATGGGGTTTATTCATACAGCACCTACACAGCACATGTCCCTCCTCCTTTTGGAAACTCAGCTTCTGCTTCCCTTAAAGATCTTCAAAACCAGCCTAACATACGTGAATTGTGTTTCCTCTATACAACAAAGCCGTCACTTCACTTGAGTCTGTGATTTTCCACTGGGAAATGTGCCGTGTCCTCCCCTCCACACGGCATTACCAGCTGACAGCGGTGATTTGCAGAGGGATATCTAATCACCCGCTAAGAAGCTTTCATGCTTAAAACCTCGATGCCATCATTAGTGGTTTTGGCACTTGCGATGTCATGGATGGGCTATGCTTGATGCTTGGATGTTAAGGGCAAACTTAACTGCATCAGTTACATGGTTAGTTCAGCTGGCAAAGGCTGAGGGATGATATTCTTCTGGTTTTCCCCAATTAGGGTTATTTACCATTTATTCACATCCCTGTGACCTCAGCTGAAGCACACCATGTTCCACCTAAAGTTGTTTTTAAGGTTAATGACCAGAAATACCTCAAAAAGAGATTCAAAGGGAAGGTTTGCCACCTGAAGGTACAACAGCGCATGCATCCACACCTCTGGCAGAGCCAGAAACATCCTCTCTGGGGAGAAAAACCCCAAATCACTGTTTTTACAAGTCCAACCATTGAGATGTGAAAGGACGCTCTGTGCATGCTTTAATGGCAGCACGTATGACTGAACACAGGCGGCGGCTGGGTTCTTCCTTTGATCATCCTAATGACCAGTGTTTTTTCCGGAAGCATTCAGTACAACCTTCCTCTTTTGCTATTCATCCCTCTGCGTGAATATTCATTAGAAATTATTAAACAGCCCATTATTCCAAAGGTCTTTACGGTGGGAATCCTCTCCCCCACCTTTTGGTGCCTGTAATGTATGTGTCTCCATCTGAGCTGTCTAGACTCCATCAGCCGCGCAGACAAGCAGGCACTTCTAGGCTATGATCCCTCTAATCTATTTTAGTGATGATTCACATCCCAGTTGTATTTCTCACAAAGAAAGAGGAATCAGGACCATTCCCACAGCGGAAGGCCCCCAGCACTACACTGTTCCCTGGATCTGGTTGGTTTTGGGGGGGTTTGATTCCCCCTTACCCTTTGGGTGTGCTGCAGGAAGAGAACAGGAGGCAGATTCCTTCCTGACTTCAGGATCCCTCAGTCGAAGCCCTGCTCTTGAGATGAAACACGGGCAGCTTCAACTTCCCTGACCTCAGCTAATTCTTTCCTTCCCTCAGCCTACTCAAGATGATTAAGCAAAATACTTGGAAGGAAATCAAAGCCTTAAAAACGCAATTAGAAGTGACCATTTTGTTAACGCGCGCACACACAACCCCAAAGTCAAATCCCATCCACCAGCAGCACCACTCCTTCCTCCGTGCAGGAGGGTTATTATTAATGATAATCAATGCTTAGCAGCTCCCACGAGGCTAACAAACAGCCCAACGCAAAGCTCAGGAGGCCAACGTGTCCCCCGACGCCGGTGGGAGCAATGCCTTCCATACGGCTCCTGGTTTTCCCACTGTTCCTGAAGGAGGAGGTTGGGAAGACGGGGAATTGCCAAACCTCACACCAGATCTGCAGACCTGAAGCTGTGACCTGGAGATGTTTGTAAGACACGGCAGGCTCTCCTCCCTCCGCAGGTAAGGCCAGAAACCTCTGTATTTGCTAACAAAGACTCGGATATAACTGCAAGAAGCTTTTACAGCATCAAACAAAACCAACTGCTCTAAGAGAATGCAATACAATAAAGTCACGAGACGATCAAAACAGCTCTCATCATGATAAAGGACCCTTTCTCCTTCACAGCCACCCCCAACACGATGCACTTTTAAAGAGTCCCTTCCCGAGATTTATTTAGGGAAAAAGACGGATTTCTTCGCCTGTGAAGGCAAATGCCCTTTAAAACAGCAGCCGTTCAGCTCCTGGGCCCCGCTACAGAAACAAAGGCTGACAGACCAGATCCCGATCAACACCTACTGCTGCACATTTAGGAAGAGGCTTAATTGCTTTGCCATTCAGAGCCAGCAATTACCACCTATTACTGTGAGTACTGCGGAGGGGGGGTGTTAGGCGCTGAAGCAAAATCTCCACTCTTTCCTGGGGCCACTCACGCACTGAAAACTGTGTAAAAAAAAAACCAAAGATACCATCTGAAAGGATTTTATTGTGGTATTCACATGAAAATGGGGGGTGGGCTCTCCCGGAGGGGCTTCGCAATGGTGAGAAACCTCGGGTTTATGTCACAACTGCGTCCTACCTGCTCCGTATCCGATGACATTTATCTTCGGATCTGGTTTTGGGGGGCTCATTTCTCCGTCGGGCGCTGAAGGGAGGTTTTAAGGACAAAAAAGCGAGCTCGAACGCTCGAGGTTACCTCGCTTCCACACAGGCGCTGCCGTTCCTCTGTGCGGGTAAACCCCTTCCTTCCCCCAGGAGCTAAACCCGCCGCAGCGAGGGGCTGGGGCTCTGTTTGAACCATTTTGACCGTTTCTAACGCGGTTTATTTGTGTTTCCTGAGGTGTTTTTCGCCGCCGCGGCTGAGGGGCGGCGCGCCCGGCCGGCTCCCGCCGGTTCAGACCGGTTCTGCGGCACAAACAACCCGCCCTCCGCGCTCGCTGAGGCGGCCGCCGGGGCTGCGGGTGCCCGCGGGCAGGGAACCAGCCGCCCTCGGCTCCCAAACACACCGAGCTTCCCTCTCGGTGTCCCCGCTTCCATCACAGCCGGGCTCCGAGGCGACCTAAAGCGGGGGGGGGGTATCTCGGAGCGAGGTTAAACCCTCCTCATGCTCAGGGCGGACGCTGAGGTAACGCGAGTCGGCGCCAGCCCCAGCACCGCGGGCACGGCCTCGGCTCCCTCGGGCTGAGGTGAGGAGGGGACGGAGGGCCAGGGCAGCTGCGATCCCGGGCGGTTTATCACCTCTTTCAGTCCACAGGACCGTGTATTTATGTGTACACGTGTGCGTGCAGAGGTGGTGTTTTTAAAGGAGAATATAAAGGTTTGCTTTGTTGTATTGAGCACAAAAAAAAACATCTCTTTCTTGAAAGGTATTTGAAATCTGCCTCTGCTCCATCTCAAAACGCTCGATACGCTCCCAAGGGTAAGGGAAGATGCTGAGGAGGATGGAGGGGGTTATATTTAGATGAGAAGCAACGCGGGCTGACACGAACAGAGACACACGAAAGAACAAAGTGAAAACGCTCGACAGTCAGTAACAAACCCCTGAGCTTTTAATTTTCCTTCCCTTAATTCACGTTTCCCTGCGCAGAGCGAACATCAAAGCGGCACAGGGCTGCATGGGAACAGGAGGTGAGGATGAGGTGCTGCTGCACCTGACTATTACAGGAGTTACTGTTGCCTTTGTGGTAAGTGAAAAGGAAGCTTCCTACTCCACGTAATTTATTTATTATTCCTTCAGTCTTTGCCTAATTCTCTTCCCCACACAAACAGGAACGTGCTCAACCCTCTCAGCCTGCCAGAAGAGATGAAAACCACTGACGTTATCTCTGCAGTGCAAAACTGAGATGGAATCAGTTCACATCAGCAAAGGCCATCGCACACATCCTGACATAGAGCCTCAACAGCCCCGTTTAACTCCATTCTTCCCGATTTTTCAGCTGTCCCCAGCAGAGGCATCTCTGAACACACTGAAGAGCCCTGACTCCAAGCCTAAGTCAGTGATTCATCACTTGCTGGCAGACAAACTATGCGGGAAAGAGGCGATGAAGACAATGGTAGGGAAAGGTTTGAATGATGCAATGAAACTGAATTCACTTTCTGCTACTTTCGCTTTGAGTTGTTTGAACGGGCTAAGAAAGTCCCTGACAAAACAGAATGCATTGGAGACTCCATTGAGGCTGCAGGGAGCCTGTTTTTCCCATGATTAAAATTCTCTTGGCAGTGTTTTTCATCAGTTTATTTCAATATTAAGACACATAAAATAACACATACGTGTTCCTTTCCAACTGTAACTCACTGCTCCAGAAAGAATTTCATCAAAATCAAACTCTAATTACTTGCCCACTCCTCAATAGAACTTTAAAATCCATTTCCAAACATCTCTATGCACAACTTCCTGCTTTGTTTCAGCACTGTGCTCTCCTAGATCCTGGGGAATATACATAAAGTCACTTTGCATGGAAGCTGAAGTTGTCCTTTTAATCCCAGAGCAAATCTTTTTTTACATGCTATAGGAAATTATTCACCTCTGCAGTAACAATCCAGCATTGACATCAACCAAATAACCACTCTAAATAAATCACAGAATCACAGATGGTTTGGGTTGGAAGGGACCTTAAAGCTCATCCCGTTCCAACCCCCCCGGGCAGGGACCCCTTCCACTGGAGCAGCTTGCCCCAAGCCCCTGTGTCCAACCTGGCCTTGAACACTGCCAGGGATGGGGCAGCCACAGCTTCTCTGGGCACCCTGTGCCAGCGCCTCAGCACCCTCACAGGGAAGAGCTTCTGCCTTATCTCCAACCTGAACCTCCCCTGTTTCAGTTTGAACCCATCACCCCTTGTCCTATTGCTCCAGTCCCTGATGAAGAGTATAGAAATACATTAGAGAAGGTTCAAAAGGAAACCTCAGGTCACCGATCTGTGACTTTACACACACACATGCACGCAGTGCTCATACTTTCACATTCTGAACCATCACCTCTAGGAAACCCAAGGATCCTGTGCATCAGTTTAGATCCTGTCTGGACAAGGTACCTCACCCGGTGTTTAGGAGCGACACGTCCCGCTGCTCAGTGCCGGGAGGCGGCACAGCAGCAAAGGGCTAGAAATAATCAGTACCACGTGGAGCAGCACGAAACGTGTTGAACCGCCTGACTTTACAGAACGCACTAAAAAAAGCATGGAAATTATTTTTAGCACATTGGAACACCTCGAGCAGCAGCCTAGAAAAGATCGTTTTCTACCCCAAAACATAGAAAAAGGGGGGATTCTTCCCAGGAAGTGGGGCAGGACACAAAATGTGTTTTGCTTCCAATAGGATCCCTCAGCTCCCATCCGTACTCTGCCTCTTCCACGACACAACACAGAAAACATGTTTGCTAATGGATCATTTCTGATGCGTGTTCACACTGGGGAAGTGGAGAAATGGAGGCTGGTGGTGGCAGAAGATTCCAACACCATTTTGGAGGTTTTTAAGCTTCCAAGATGACTAAAACCCCAATGACCCTCTTCCACAACGAATGTGGAAAACGAGGAATCTTGTGTCAAGACAACTCCAAATCACAAACTGCTACGAGCGCGGAAGCGGCTCCAGCTCAAGCATCCACAGCCACCAGTGTCCCAGCAACTGCTGAGGCCTCAGGACACTGAACAGAGCCCTGCTGCAGAGAACAGGGGTTATTTTTACCATGATCTTTTTGGTCTTATCTTCTGTGCAGCTCCCATTACACACCCCTGCAAAGGCCTCCAAATACACATTTAAAGCTTAGCCCAACACAACAAACCTTTAAGAAATAAAGGCTTTTTCACCTTTTTTTTTCCTTTAAACAACCTGCAGAGCACCTTTCCTCACAATACTGTCCAGGAAAATCACCTCCATTTAACATAAATCATATTTACATCATGCAGCTCTCTGAAAAGCACATGGAATAAAGCCCCAGCTTCTCCTTTGCCACCTTTCTGCTGTTTTTCACAGTGCCTGAAGGATGGTGCCACACACAAAACCACTCCCAAGTGTTTTAACACGGAGTTCCCCATTGTCCCCAAACAGGGACCCACCTCTAAGTGAGCAGAATGTGTTTTGCCTCTTACAGCCTGCCGGTGGAGGGCCAGGACAAGACCTGAGTGACAAATATAAAGACCTCAATAATTTCACAGCATCACAAAATCATCCATTTCCACTTAGAATAAAGCCATAAGAGGATCTCCAGTTTGCTAAAATCCCCGAGAAATACTATGTGATTTGCAAGAAGTAATTCTTCCTCAGACAACAACAAACCACCCTCAGTTATTCCAGGTAAATCCCACTCCAGAAATGAAAAATAAGGGGATTTGGTAAAGCAATCCAGGGATGACACAGCCAGAATTTACTACCCAGGCTATAGAAATGGGACTCAGTTTCTGCCTGCTCTGGGTACATGATCCCTAAGTATCTTGCACAGGGAGAAGGGGACAAGGTGGCTTTTGCTCCCCTGGGGTCTGAGGCTGAATTCAAACCGTGTTAAAAATTAAACAGAAAAGTCCACTTGTGCCTTAAGGCCAGCTGGTGTTTTGCTTTACAAAATAAAGTTATAAATATTTATTCGTCTCTAACTCACTGCTTAGAAACATGTAAAACTGCTTTCTGAGCCTTCAGAATTCAGTACACCAGAATCCACCACTTGCTCTACTGAATTTCTGCATTAATAAGGAAAAAAGTATGTTTATTTCCCTTTCCTCCCAGAGCATCATCTAGTTTTCCATTACTACAACCAGGAATTGCCAAAACGGAATGCTGAAGCGCACAGCAGACGCTGCTTTTCTTCTGATTAATCCTAAAACCTTGTTCCAGTGGGATCGCGTTCAGTCCTCTCAAATTCAAACCACTATTTCATCCCATCTCGACCTCCCAACAATGACATTTCATAAATATGACGACTTTCTTGGACTCCTTTCTACCCATTCTGCAATGCACAAAGGAGCACCAGAGGAGAGAGGTTTTATTTCTCCCTGCTTGGGATTTTTTTTAACCTTAAATGTAACCAGACCTCCTTTTGATTCATCTTCTCTGGGGTTGTTTTATTGGAGACCAATGGAAGTCTCACCAGCTTTTTTTAAGCTGTAATAGGTGTGAAAGATCTTTGACAAGGGGTTGTCCTCCTCCAAGTGCTGAGACCTCATTCAGAGACAGGTGTCAGAAATAAGCAGAGCAGCTCAAAGTCCTCTCATTCTAGAGGAGCCTCTCTCCTCACCTGCTCTCCAGCCAAGCCAGGACCTGGATTTCTAAATCCAGGAGGAGAAAACAGGAATTAAAAGGAGTAAATAAATCTTCACGCGGTTCTCAACTTCCTCATCCTTCCGTATGCCCTCCCCAGCATCAGCCCATCCGACCCTTCCCAACACTCCAGCATCGAGCACGTTAGGAGTTTATAAAACAAATTAGAGAGTTACCAGTGGCAGAATTCCATTCACAGTGATAATCAAACCCCAACTATTAATTACACTGATAATCACTGAATCAGTGTTTTCAGCTTTGGAAAACAATTGGCACACAAAGGACACGTTTCCAACTCTGCAAACCCCTCAAAGCTCTTCACCCAACATTTCCCGGGTGCAATGGCACCTTCTTGCTTTCCACTTTTAGGGTGAATTTATTCTTAAAAAGCTAAATATCCATGAGGCATTCCAACATGTCCTTTCAAATTAGTACCAGAATTCCAATTATTAGCTCCAGCACTTTTTTCTTCCCCTGGACTAGTTTATAAAGCCACAGCAAAGCAGAACCAAAGCCGTGGGTGTATCACTAGGAAATGAACACTTGGATTTATGATTTCTTTCTAATTCTTCCAAGTCTGCAGTTTTTGCTGTGAGGCAACAGGGGAAAAATGGAAGAGATCAACCTTGGAAATGTTGGCGGCGACAGGAACGAGATGAAACTGAACAGCACCATCCATCATTTCCCAAAGTATTTTACAGCACGTCCTGTAAAATGCAGTTGACCTTAAAACTTGCTCATTCCTTCACTTGGCAAACGAAAGAGCTCCTCACTCCTCACACAGACAGGCAGCACCCGTGCAGCCCGTGCTGTCCAGCCAGTGCCTGACGGATGCTGCACATATCCACCATGGAAAATAATTAACCACAGCAACGCCATTCTCCTCGGATCCGTTTCGTGCCAACTCAGCCCTTCTGCCTTTCACACTGCTTTACTTCTACACCAGTAACGCTCTGCCACCAAACACCTTCTATTTCCACAGCCCTGGCTCACAGCTCCACACCGTGCCTCGGAAACAGCCGGCAACGCCCAGGGAACGGTCACTTTGGGTCGGGACCTACCTGTCGCTGCTGGTACTGCTGCTGCTGCTGATGGAGTCGCTGCTGGAAGACCTGCTCCGGGAGCCGCTGCCGCTGGGGGAGCGGGTGGGTCTGGCTGCCTGGCTGGCCAGGCGCTGTGGGGACTGTGTCCTGGACTGCGATGAGTGCGGCGACCGGCTCCTGCTGTGCTGGTAATTCCTCTCTGGCCTTCTGCCTCGTACCTCCCGTGTAATATCATCCCTGTAGATATCCCTGTGTACCACACTGGGCAATGTAAACTGCTCCCGGGCCCTAGGTTCGTAACGGGGGTCGTGAGCATCAAAACGGTTTGGACTTCGACTCCGAGAAGTATAATAGAGCCCGTGTTGTAAAGTCCGCTCTCGAGGATCTCTATAGTAATCCTGATCGTAATGTCTCGTCCGATCAAATCCTCCCGTCCCCCGCTCATGGTGTCCATAGGCACTATGTTCATAAGCACGCTCCCTGTTATCTGAAGCCCTGCATTTAGGAAGGGGGGAAAAATACTCCATCAGAAAGGGGTAAGCACAACTCCAAGCAAATCATGCAAACATTCATGTCAGCATGGACTTATTTTTGCGACTGCTTCTCCACTAAACAGCAATA